TTTTTATTATACGGCCGACGATTAGGACTATAATGATTGTTTGGATAACAAGGCATCTTAGGGTAATAAAATGGAGGAGGAAGCAATGGTGGATAGTTTGATGGAAAATACATAAATGGATTTGTATTGTAATTATAATGACCATTGGCCCCATAAACACCACCATAGTTATAGCCTTGTTGTTGTTGTGGTGGTGGTATACAGCAAAGAAACCAGAATGGAAATCAAAATTCTGTTGCTACTACCACAACAAATACGTTGCCACAAGGACAGCAGCAACAACAACAATCAAATAATACTGGAAATAATCGCCCCCGATCAAACACAAGAATGACGACATCAGCATTTCGACGTCGACAAAATCGACTTCAACAGCAACAACAACAACAACGGAATAATAATCAAATTCCGGTACATCAAAATCCTTTTGATACATTAGCTGTTGAAAATAATGATAAAGAAGAGCCTGAAGTTCCAGTAAATGATTTTTCTTCTGTTAACAAGAACAAGAAGAAGAAAAATAATAACAATAATAAAAAGAAGAAGAATGAAGGCAATGTTTCAAAGACAAAACATCGTCCATACTTGAATATTGACAAATTTGCTCAATGGTTATCAACGAATTCAAAGACAAAGGAAGTCATGAAAAGTTCTGGCAATCAATGCTTCGCTTTACAAGCTGCTCCAATCTATGATGAATGGATTCGATCAGATTATGAAGTACAAGTATGGAGAGGTTACAAAAAATTGGGTATTACACATAATCATTGGGCTAAAGAGGTTGTGAATCGTACAAAGACACGTAAAAATGATACATGTATAGTCTTCGTTGATAAGAAGATTAATCACTTCCAAAACATAATTGACCAAGCTCATGTAAAAATTAGTAAATTACAACATGAATTAGGACATTATTGGTCACAAATTCGAAGTAAGAAAGATGTGTTTGTTACGTCTGCAGCAAGTACAACAACAACAACAACATCAGTAGCCCCTCCTCCTTCTCTTTCTTTAGCAACTACTACGAATAATGACGAGATTACTCCATGGCATTCTTTTGAAAGACTTTTAATATTGAATCCATTCTATCGTATCGACTTTGTATTTTACGTTTATCATGAATAGATTCATTGAAACTAAATCTGTACGTATTCCTACTAATAAATCTTGGTAATAGATTCATTTGGAAACGTGCACTTGTGATACGATAATTTCTATTGGCTGTATTCCATAATTTAATTTTTGGTTGTAATAATTCATGGATATTTAATTGTGTTGAAGTAGATATTTGTTCAAATTCTTTAAATGTTGTATATTCCTCCATCTCTATCTTTGCTACTTCGAGACGTGTGTCAGCTATCTTTTTGATATGCTGAATTTTTTTTTCTTTTATATAGTCCGTTAATAGCTTCTCCATTGTTTTAATTTCTACACGAGAATAATTTGGAGTAATAGTTGTTGTTGTTGTTTCTGTGAGGGTCATGGGAGTAATCTCGTGATTATTCGTAGTAGTTGATAAAGAAAGAGAAGGAGGAGGGGCTGCTGCTGTTGTT